TATGCTTTTACGTCAAATGTGGGCGGCCTACAAGATCAATGTCTAGTATAATATATGACTATATATATATCAAGAGTACATAATAGGAGAAGAGTATGACACCGTTTTAACAGCGTTTTGCATAATTTTCAACTTGTTATACTTGTTTCAACTTGTGTCATACTCTTCTCCTATTGTCTACTCTTGATATATATATATACATAATACTATATTAATATAATATAATATCTACAATTGTCGACGTACCGAGTAGTTTGAGCACAGTCACCATCAGCTCATCACAGCAATACAATTTGCCATCCTCGTCCTTTGCCTTCTGACTCCACTTCTGCAGCAGTGGCCACATGAGTTCGCAGATAATGCAGTCGTTCGTCCACTTCCAGCCCTCGAAATGTGCCAGCAACTCCAGCGACTTCACAACTTCAAACGCCTCGGCAGTGAACGCTGTTGGTTCTATTGAAATAAGATTGAAAAACAGTATATTAAATTCAATCGTTTAGGCGTACGGCTTTGAAAGCTACCCCACTAAACGCAGCTACTGTTGTACTAAGAGCTATGTTTACGGTGTGTCATTTCTAGTGTGAAGCAAACTCAACATCTTGCAACATATTTCAGGAACTATAACTGCAGTTATGATGATCACTAATCCCAAACTCCACAACAGATGGCGCTCTCGCTCTGGCTCAATTCACCACTGCCACAAGTAGATTTCCGTGAGAATTTCTAACGCTTTTTTACCACAAGTTTTAAGGGGGGCTTATGTCGGGCTTGCGAGCCGACTCGACTGGAAGCAACTGGCTGCAATTCACTGCGACTGCAGTGCGTAGGTCGGTCGACTGCGACGCGACTGCCTACGAGTGGCCGCCACTAGTTGCTCGGAATAGAACAGTGGGCAACTGGATGCAACTAGTCGCTGCTGATCGCTTCCAGTTGCTCAAAATCCAGTTATTTCCAAGCCCGACACATAACCAGCGGTCAGATTACTCGTATCCTATGTAATAAGATTTGTACTAATAAAAGTTGCAAAGATATTAAATATCCGACCATTATTTCATGAAAAATTTGATGAAATAGTGATAAGAAATAGTGCGCGGAATGGTGCGCCCATTTACCTCTTTCATATCATACGCTGTTTACGAATCGCCATTCGCTGGATTTCCCCAGAGCTCCGCCCACTTTAAAAATAGTGCTAGCCTTGCGGCAGTGGTATCCTGAGTTGTAAGAAGGGGGCACTGCATGCAGTTTGCACTAATCCCTGTAGCATTTGCCTTCCCTAATGCTATGAATATTCCACAACATATTAACACTGGTACACAAACCTGTACTTGTAGGATTTGAAACAAGGCGACTTGGTGCAAGAGATATCAGCCTCTGCATCATGTCTGTGAGAAGCTGTTTTCTTGGTAGGACTTCTTCTACCTAGAAGATGTTAAATAACTTATGACTACTCACACTTATACTACTCTCCACTTCACATATTTAGCTAGTACGTTAAAGGCTACCGGATATAGCTTACAACATTTGTTTACTGTAATAACAAGCAAACAATAATGACAAATGGAATAAAAGAAAACCAGAATTATATATGAAATTAATAAACCATGCGTACACCATATATTGATTTAAATATTTGATCTCCCTATTGTGTTCTGTTGCGTGTTATTGTGTCCTATGTCATTATTACAATCTTACCTTCCAGTTACAGAGTAACGCAAAACAACGTTTTACATCTTCTTCAGCACGTAGCTTTTGAAGGATAATGTACTGCACTGTTGGTATGATAAGGCCATCTGAAAGCAATATTATGTTTGAGTAAGTACTGTCATTTCACTCTGTGATACCTCCATCTTTGACTAGTTGACTCTTCAAAAAATCGGGAATCTATCTACGCCATTTCACTTTCATTTCTATGAAACAAATGAATACTACAACTAATATATGAACAATGGGTATACATACAAAAACAATTTTATTAACATGTACCAGTGTTCCAAACACATAAATCATAGGGAAAGAATAACGAAAAGCATATCGAATTTATATGGATCTCACGCCACATATCTAAAGCCAATTATACTCATCATGATGTCCACTGTTTTTACATGATTCTTTATATTGTATTGTACTACCAAAATATGGATAATATACATGTTCGTAGCTTTTCAAACAATTATTATGCAGAAAAACCTTTAATGTAATTTTTATTTTACAGCAAATGAATTGAGCCTGTACTTCACAACGCGTTGTTGTACATGTAACTGCAAAATAGTTATAATTTATATAAGACTACCGTACTGGGGAGCATCATCACCCTGTTGTTGCAGTTTTTTTCCCAACAACCTAGTAATTCACATAACTAAATATACACAAGGTTTATTTCGTTGCTGTTGTTTGTTGGTAGCACTGTTGAGTTAGCAAACTAGTCTAATCGGGACGCTACCAAGAATGTAACTGCATTACACGATTGGATATGATTACGTGTGAAAAGAAACAAACATTTACTTTCACTCACTCCTAATGTGATTGTTATAACGAATGTCATTAAACCAGAGCTCTGTAAAGGAGGTTTCCAGCACCTTACTACTCATAAAACCACTGTGCCCACTACTCTTTAATCTCACTTGAGTCAATTTCCACAAATCAAAGCACACAGTTATGCAGTTACATGGCCATTAGACTTACGCCGTCTTTTTATTACGACTTTACGCCGTCAAAAATCCTTAAGAATACAAGTGCGTTACTAATAAAACGTGGCAAGAAATGCGCATATATATGCAATTTAGATGTATGCCTTCCCATTTAGTAAAATCTGGGAGAATCTGCATACTTTTATAATTTGAGTAACGTCATCATCACTGTGGGATTCCAAAAGCATCAAGAAACACTGAAATCACAATATATATCACGGTATAGTTATCCCCAACCCCATCCTTTTATTATTGAGTTGACAAACTTTATACATATACACACATGCACACGCACGCACGCACGCACGCACGCACGCTCTCTCTCTTACACACACATGTATATATATCCTTTTTTATAGAAGTGTACAGCTATACTGAATTTACATAGATGGCACATGACCCTAACCATTTTCCAAGTAAGCAGATGGGACAAGAATAGCCATATAATAGCACAACGCCACCATTCCACGACAACACCACGCTCTCAATGAGAAATATGTAACAACAATTCCATCAGTTCACTACCACATCGTGACGTCACAGCACAGCACAGCAACAATGAACCATGCCTGACACAGTATATAACCCCCACGACACTCTCGCATTCTAACCTTGCCGCATCATTTCCATTCCACGACCACGTGACGCTCCCAACAGATACTAGAATGTACCGCAATCATCGTTCCACGACCACGTGACGCTCCCAACAGATACTAGGATGTGCCATAATCGTTGCCCCACGACCACATCATGCTCTTGCCGTAGCAATGCTGCGGCATCAAGCTGCGTTCGCTCACGTACGGAAGCTGCTCCTTGAAGCGCATCCAGAAGTGACGCAGCTGCTTGAGCAAGGAGGGAGGCAGCACGCGCGTGTGCAGCCGATGCCAGCTAAGGCAGGTCGTCGCCGTCACGTCCGGGTCGAAGGGAGACAGCAGCAAGCACGCCTCGATCGTGGCCAGTTGCACGCGCCAAGGCACTGCAAGTGGTAGAGTAAATCGTTTAATAGCATTATAGTATTATAGTATAAGTAGCAATAGGATGGACAATGTTAGCGAATCTGCGGTGTTAACGGTTGACTCTCTACTCGACTGGTCGACAAAGTGAGATTCTGTGAAATTAGATCGAGCTATTATGTGATATCGCGTGACATATGTTCATCCGAATCACTCTCAGCTCAGATGTTGTACAAACATATCAGATTCTATATAAATGCTTTAAACGAGAATGTAACTGACTATATTGTGGTGAGGCTTTCTAACGATATTGTGTAAATACAACATTGTAGCTTCATTAGCGTAGGTAGGGGTAAGCTACCTAACAAATCTCTTGCACAATTCGATTGGGCAAATTCAGTAATTCTAATGATATATTTCATTATTAAGTCTTGAATGTAAATACGCCTACCCGCATCTTTATCACTATTTAACTGGTCGAGTAGAGACTTCAACGTCTGCACCAACTTAACAGCACTGGATTGAGATCTAGCAGGACACGCACTGCCAAGAATACCTGGAAAAACAGATAAAGAAGTGAGAATTACACACCATCTATATATACTATATAATGTAGAAAAAACGTTGTTGGTGGCTGTGTAAATGTACTCTGGCTTATTTCACTGTTATCAGTTTCTTTAATAACTGCAGATATGGCAGTGCAGCTCTACTCAATGACATTCATATATGCTTTTACGTCAAATGTGGGCGGCCTACAAGATCAATGTCTAGTATAATATATGACTATATATATATTTAAAAATACTTGTTAATTGTACTCTTGTGTTGACCACTTCCAGAAGGTAGTTTTGTGTCATAAACTAATTAAATTCAGTTTGGTGATTTTACAAGCAACATTTAATGAGAGTCCGTAATGTCATTGAGGGTTTCATCAATCATCAATACCGATTCATCATCATCATCATCATCATCATCATCATCTGACTACTTATGAACATGGTTTATTTGTGCATTAATTTTGTTGAATTTGATGTTGCCATAGGCTATTCCTGGTAAAGCATGCCTACTTGTAAATCTTGTGTACCAGTTATATATGATTGTTAAATGACAAAGACAGTAGGTGTAGACGTAGTCTGTAGGTGTGCAAATGAAGAAATTATAAAAACATACTATTAATTCAAAATAAATTTAGATATTGTGTATTTAATTCCTGATGTGTAACATAATTACATTACAAAATGAGAGGTGTGAACCAAAGGCATTATAACAGAGAAAAACAAAACATTTTTTGAAGAGTCAACTAGTCAAGATGGAGGTATTCACAGAGTGAAAATAACAGATACTTTACTCAAAACATATTATTGCTTTCCAAGGCCATTATCATACAAACCAACGTGCAGCATACCACTTATCCTTCAAAAGCTACGGCACTGAGAAGATGCTAAAACGTGTTTCGCTTCACTCTATTGCTAACGGCAAGCGTAGATCTGTAATTAATGACACCTAGTACACAATAACACGCAACATTAACACAATAGGAGATCAAATATTTAAATACAATTATATCGAT